AAAGTTACCATTGATCTCTTAATTGCTAAATCTGATGATCTTTTCTCATTCCCATTCCCCACCCCCTCCTCCTGGATACTCTCTCCTTTCTAGGTTTTCATGACACAACACAATAATACAATACAATAAACATTTTTAATTAATTTATTTTTAGTTTCAATACAATGGACATTTATTAAGTACCTGCTATGTGCCAGGCACTGTACTAAGAACAGGGGATACCAATAAGAAAAAGAAAGACTGTCCCTATACTCAAGAAGTTTACAATCTAATGGAGGAAGGCAACATACAAAAGGAAACTAAAAAAGGTGGAGGGAGAAGGTGCCTGGCTTGAGGGCATGATGATGGCATGATGACATCATGATGATGATGTCAAATCCTACCAGTGCCGCCAGTGGGAAGTGACCCTACTCTCTTTCACCTTCTACCTGTCTGATCGTTCCTTCTCAGTCGCCTTTGCTGGCTGCTCATCAGCATCACATCCCCTAAAGTTCTGTCCAAGTCCCTGTTCTCTTTTTCTTGGTAACCTCATCGGATCCTACAGGTTTAATGATCATATCTATGCAGATGACTTCTCAATCTATGTAGCCAGCCCTTGTCTCTAATCTGAACTTTAGTCCTGAGAAAATAAAATACTGTTCTTGTATTTTATTTTTGAATCCATTCTATATTGATTCTATTCATGGCCTGAGCAATATTTCTTTGTCTCTAAGTTAAGTTCAGAAGTTCATGAATATGAAAGTTCAGTTTTCCTCTCTGACTTAAGTTTAAAAGGTTTTTTCCCCTATAAATCACTTTAATTGAAAGAAAACAGTTATCTCTGTATCCCTAGCTGCCCTTTTACAATTAGAAGAAATCTGTTTTCCTTGAGGGGTGCAGGTGGATGCCAGGGAGTCTGGTTTGTTATCTCTGCAATCCTGGCCGTCCTTCAAGAAAGTCTGTGACACTAACTAGCCATGCAAGAGGACACCAGCAATGAGCTTTCCATAGCAAAAAGATGAGTGGAGAGGTTGTTGCTAGCCCTGTATTCCAGATTTCCATCTCGTCATATTGCTTCCCATTATCTATGGTACTTTGGACTCTGTAACCAATCATATTGTTTTCCTTCTGTGATACTTCTTGTTCTTTGTTCCCTTGTACTTTTCAAAACTATATGAAGGTTAGTAAGCTTTACCTCATGTTGCTTACTGAGGACCTGAAAGAATTGGCAATTGCTGGCTTTACCAATAAATTGAATGTACTTAGAACTTTGTGCCTCAATTTACTTTAGTTTCAATCTTAACAGTCACACATTACCAATTGCCTATTGGATATTTCAAACTGGATGTTTCATAGATGTCTTAAACTCAACATGCTTAAAACTTAACTCATTATCTTTCCCCTGAATCCTCCCCATGCTTTCCTGTTATTTTCAAAGGTCCCATCATCCTTCCAGTCTCCCAGGTTCATAATCTTAGCATTATGTTACATTCCTCACCACACATCAATTGCTACATTTTGCCATTTCCATCCTTATAATATTTCTCTGATCCAACTCATACAACTACCACTTTAGTTCGGGCCCTCATCACCTCTCGCTTAGATTTTTTTGAAAGCTTCCTAATTGATTTCCTGGCCTCATGTCTCTCACCCCCAGTCCATCTGGCACACCGATTATGATTTCCTTACTCAGCCAGCATCAGTGTTTTTCTGCTGCTTCTAGGGTAAAATGTAAACTCTTTTGTATAGCTTTTAAATCCATGTACAAGCAGCCCAGCCTGTCTCTCAGCCTTGTTGGATATTACATCCCCTCCTGTGCACTGTGAGATAGCCCAGTTGGCCTTCTCTCTGTTCCTCACGGATGATATGCCCATCTCCTGTCTCTGATTTTGCCCATCTCTGTGCACTCCCTTCTTACTTCCATGTCATAGAGCCCCTCTCTTTCTTTGAGATACAATTCAAGCGCCATTTTCTTCGTGAAGCCTTTCCTGATCCCTCCCCCAACTGCTGGAGCCCTCCCTCCCTTGTATTTAACTACTTTATATACATTTATATTTATTAACCTTATCCATACATATGTACGTATATGTGTGTAAAAATATACATACATACCTCATTTGAATGTAAGTTCATTGCAAGGAGGGACTGTTCCATTCCTTGTACTTGTATCCTCAGTGCCTGGCTTATAATGAGCACTTAATAAATACTTGTTGGTTGATTGATTGATTTATATCCCCTTCATTTCCAAATATTCCTCTCCTCTTCCCATTATTCAGAGAGCCATCCCCTTACAACACAGAGTATTCCTTTTTAGGTAGAGGTTTGGCTAGATAGCCTCTGAGGTCCATTCTATCTCTGAAATTCTGTAATTCTGTTGTCTACTAGGGAGAGCCCTGACCCAAAGGAACTGGTTTCAGCTAGGTTCTGATATGGACTTTTGGGGTGTCTTTGGAGTCCCTCTCAAAGCTTTTGAGTACACAGTGTAACTAGAGAAAATAAGCCCCATTTCTTGATTAGAGAAATTCAAATTAAAACCTCTCTGAGGTACCATCTCACACCTATAAGATTGGCTAATATGACAGAAAAAGAAAATGATAACTATTGGAGAAGATATGGGAAAATTGAGACACTAATGCATTGTTGGTGGAGTTGTGAAGTAGTCCAACCATTCTGGAGAGCAATTTGAGACTGTACTCAAAGGACAATCAAACTGTGCATACCCTTTGATCCAGCAATACCACTACTAGGTCTGTATCTCAGAGAGATCATAAAAAAGGGAAAAGGATCTACATGTACAAAAATATTTATAGCAGTTCTTTTGTGGTGGCAAAGAATTAGAAATGGAGGAAGTGCCATCAGTTGGGGAATGGCTGAACAAATTGTGGTATATGAATGTAATGGAATACTATTATACTATAAGAAATAATAAACAGGCAGATTTCAGAGAAACTTGGAAAGGCTTAACATGAAATGATGCTGAATGAAGTGAACAGAACCAGGAGAACATGGTATGTAGTAACAGCAACATTGTGCACAGATCAACTATGGTTGATTTAGCTTTTCTCAGCAAGACAGTGGTCCAAGAAAATTCCAAAAGAGTCATGATGAAAAATGCTATTTACTTCCAGAGAAAGAACTGATGGTGTCTGAATGTAGATTGAAGCATACTAATTTTACTTTTTTGGGTTTTTTTTTTCCCCATGGCTTTTGCCTTTTGTTTTGTTTATAGCACATATGTAAGCTATATTGCTTGCCATCTTGGGGGGGGTGAAAGAGAGGGAGGGAGAAAAATTGGAACTCAAAATCTTATAAAAAATTAGTGTTGAAAGCTATCTTCACATGTAATTAAAAAAAATAAAATACTATTTACAAAAAATAATGAAAGAAAAGAAACCCCATTTGTTTTTTCTTTCAGAAGGCACTAAGGAGAATAGAACAGCCTGATGAGTTGCGCCACATCCTCCTATTCACATTGTCTTTTGTTTGTATCTGCTCCCTTTTCTCTACTTCCACAGCTGCCACCCTAACTCAGGCCCTCATCACCTTTCCCCACGGCTGCTGCTGTGGCCTCCTTTTTGGTATCCTGGCATTCAGCCTTTCCAATGCACAGGTTCTCCCTTCCCACAGCTGCCAGACCGACGTTCTCTTCGTGTCATTCCTTATTCAGAAAGCTTCAGTGGCTCCCTAATGCTTCTGGTATCAAAAGTAAACTCCTTTCACATTTAAAACTCTCTAGAATCTGGCTCTGGCCTATCTCACTAGATTGAGCACATATTACCGACCTGTACACACAGGCTATTCCAGCCAAATTGGCCTACTTGCTCTACCCTGTTCACGACCTCTCCTCTCGCTGTGCCTTTGCACAGGCTTCCCCCCGTACCTGGGGTGTTCTCCCCTCTGCCTCTTGGAGTCCCAGCTTCCTTCAAGCTTCAGTTTAAAGGCCACTCCTTTAAAGAGACCTTTTCTAATTCTTACCATGGTTGTTACTGTTCCCCCTGAAATTGTTTTGTGTTTACTTATCTGTGTATATGTTATTTTCTCTTCCCCTTCCCCCTAGAATGTAAGTTTCTTGAGAGCAGAGACTGTTTTATTTTTGTCTTCACATGTTCAGCACGTAGTGTAGTGCCTGACACATAGTAGGCATTTAATAAATGCTTGTTGAATTGTTTGATTGAATCAAGAAGTATTGATTGATTGTCTCCTATGTGCTTGGCACTGTTTTTCTCATAAAACTCATAAAGTACAGGAGGCTTATAAACATTTTTAAAAAGACAAAAAACTTTACCGTATAAGGCATTATGCTAAATCCCAAATCAGTGGTCTAAAGAATAAATGTTTTTAAGAGTTCAAAGGGTTGAGAGATCACTTCCAGCTAGGGGAGTAAAGGTAGGAATTATTAGGAAAGGCTTTACAGAATGACTAGGACTTAGTCCTTGAAGCATAGGTGGGGATTTTCTAGATGGAAGGGGGAAAGAAAGTTATTAAAAGCAGGGAGAGCACTAGGAAAAAGTCTCAGAAGCAAGGGAATATGAGGAAGAGTGAATAGACAATTTTGGAAAGAGGATAGGCTTTAGACTTAGAGGATCTAGATTCTAATCCCAACTCTATGGTGTATAACTTTCCTGTCCTTAAATGAGTCACTCAAGTCCACAGGTCCTCAGTGTTAAAAGCTGTAAACTGAGGATTGTAGCAAGATTGCTGAAAGCTTGCATGCCAAACTAAGGAGTTTAGGATAGTGCTTTATGGGAACCCACTAAAAGTGGTTTTGAGTAAAGGAATAACAGAATGATAGGTACTTCAGGAAGATAAATGATTAATTTGGATTGGTGAGGGGAAACCCAATAAAAAACTGTTGCAGTAATCCAGAAGAAGAAAGATTTACAACAGTTTGGGTAAGAATATTTGCTGGGGTATGTGTATGTGAAGTGGGTAGAGGGGCTGGGCAGAGAAGGGAATTAATTTTTACTTAAATTTTCAGACTCTTAATTAATTTTGACAGTTTTATCTCTATATTTGATCAGGTATCTCTGACAGTTTGAACTTTGATGAAGAGGCAACTGATGGGGAGGAAGAAGAAGGAAAGAAATCAAGAACTCATTCACCTTACTCAGAAACACAGCGACCCAGTTCTGGATCCAGCCAGAAATCAGCCACAGTATGTAGTTTTGGAAGCTCTTCCTTTTGGGTAAATTAGACCAGCTCTCCCAAGAGCTTACCTTCATAATGTAATAGCACTGTTAAATTAGGGTGATTTCTACCTCCATCCCTCCCTCCATTTCTTTGCAGAGGTGGGAGACTATGGCTGCAAATATTTTCAAATTTTTGTATGGTTGATTTTGAGGAACATTTCCCTCCTCCCCCACCTTTTTATCCTGTGTTATAAGAGATTGCTTTGTGAGGGATGAGGAAACAGAAGAAAGACCTATGGTGAAATGTAGGCAATGTAAAAACAGACAATATCAATAAAAATATTGTTGTTAAATGAAGGTGCCTTCAGAGGGCTCATATCTGAATATAGACAGATTAGTGCCTACAGGAACCCTCATTCAAAATAACTTTTAAGGGCATCACCTTTTTGCTATCTTCTCTTGTGCCAAATGTTTATCATTTCATTTGATGTCCCTGAATTTCTTCTGCCATTGTGAGAAGGCCTGGGTTGTGAAGATCCAAAGGCCGATTATTCCTCACAAGAATGTGGTAGCTTCTGGCCAGGTCTCCTCTTACTCAGGTATCACTGTTCCCTCAGGATACAGGAGCCTCCTGTACAGCATCCCTTCAGGCTGATAACCAGCTAGGAGAAGTAGAAAATTTAGAAGATTTTGCATTTCGTCCTGCTCCTCGGGGGATTACAGTGAAGTGTCGGATCACCAGGGATAAGAAGGGAATGGACAGGGGCCTCTACCCCACCTATTACATGCACTTGGAAAGGGATGAAAATCGGAAGGTATGTGAATGATCTTCTAGGGCAAAGCTTTTCAGGAGGGGAAATATAGGAGGTTGGATTTTATAATAAGGAAAAAATACTGGTGGAGGGAATATAGTACCTTGGAAAGAATACTGTCACAGGATCTGAATTCAAATCCCAACCCTGCTGCTTACCAATAACTCTGTGACTTTGGGCAAGTTACTTAACCACTCTGGGCCTCAGTTCCTCATTTGGAAAATGAAAGAGTTGGTCTACATGGTTTCTTTCAGTTATATATCTATTATCCTTTTATCCTGTGCTCTTAGGCCAAATTCAATGCAAGTGAGTGAACTTCCATTCCTTGTAAGTATGTGTTAGTGCTCTTTTCAATGAATTAAATATAAGGAAATGAAAGTTTTAATAAGTAGACTGCTTTGTTAGATTGTTTAAGGAAAATTATGTTTTAAATTGTTTCATTTTGTTTTGATACACCAGATGCTTTAGAGAGTATCCATACATTTACTTTTTAAATAATATGAAATGTTTTCTTTTTTTCCTGGGGGAAGCATCTCGGTTTTCTTTTTCTTTTTAATCAAAGAAGAATAATGACAAAGGAAAATAAGTACGTGTGGGTTGGGAGGGGGAATGACCTAGGTATAATCAGAAGAAGAGACAAGCTAAATGCCCCAACAATCCTAGTTTATTTCAGACTTGGGCTTCTCAGCACTTTTAAACTTGTTCACGAATAATTCATTCCATATAGACATAAGGGCTGAAGAGTTAACATAGGATTCCCAGAAGTGGTTTGATTGGAAGGCAGAATTTAATGCTGAAGTAGTTGTATCACAGAAGTGATGAGGTGCAGAATAGCAAGGGAATTATTGCAGTAAAGATTATAAAACTAAAGGTAGGACAAGGTGACTGCACTGATCAATTAGGTTAAGTCCATGGTAAGGGAGAAAGATGTTTTGTTGGGTCCATAGTGATAGAAAAATAAGCGGCAATACAGAGAGCAAGGTTTGAAGCAAACCTGGAAAGCTATAGAAGGGAAGTAAGTGTTTATCAGGTGCCTCCTATGTGCCAGTCACTAAGCACTTCATAAAAATGATCTCATTGAGTCCTCACAACGACCCTTTTTTACCGTTGGGCACACTAACTCCACTGTGCTACCTCACTGCCAAAAAGGAAAGAAAGAAGAAAGAACAGTGGACCCTCAATTTGTGGAAGCAGGTTGGAGGTTGGAATGAGAGATCAAAAAGGTTTACTGCTCGAGTAGACGGAGTAAGATTTGTGCTCTCTTCATTCCAGACCTGACATGACATTTTGCATTTTTCAGACATTCCTTCTTGCCGGGAGAAAGCGAAAAAAGAGCAAAACGTCCAACTACCTCATTTCCATTGACCCGACAGATTTATCTCGGGAAGGGGAGAGTTACATTGGCAAACTCAGGTGAGAGCCCCAGGGTTGACGAGTGTTCTAGCCTAGGATTGGGAGTGACCTCAGAAACCATTCAGCCCAACCCCTCCTTTTACAAATCAGCAAACAGAAGTCAAGAGGGACTAAAGGACTTTATCTAGTTTCCCTATTCCTTGCCCTTTCTTTTTTTTAGCTTAATTTTTCTTTTTGATTGTGAGCTTAACAATAATCAACAAACATGAATGTTGTAGTACACAAAGGAACAAAAAAGAGAATTACATATGAAATCATAAACTTCTGTTATATACAGATTGTTTTAAGAATGTATTAAGTTTAATGTGATAATAACAAAATTGCCTGGTTTGTATCCTTATAGACTTTCTTCTCTTTTCTTCTGTATATCTTTAAGTATTTTATTCTTTTTTATTTTTGCATTTCTATCACCAGCAATTCTTTTGTTCCCCTATCCTTTGCTAATAGAAGAATCAAGCAACCAATCTGACTGGATCCACTACCAGTTTACGTTATATAACTCAACTGGGTTTGCTGCTGGGCAGCCCTTTTACACCACCCTAAATTAACTCACTCTCCTACTCACCACAGTAGCTCTTCCAGACCTTTTCATCCCTCCTGAAACCTCCCATGCTTTCATGATTTCCCTCCACCTACTTTCTCAGCTGAGAACTTTGCCTCATGGTTTCCTTAAGGGAAAGAAGAAAAGGTCAAGGCACTTCATTCCCGGATCTGGGCGTTATCTCTGGTTGTCCTTCATGCCTGGAATGCTCTCCTTCATCTCTGCCTCTTGGCTTCCCTGACTTCCTTCAAGTCCCAACTAAAATTATGCCTTCTTCAGGAAGCATTTATCAATCCTTCTTCTTCTTTTTTTTTTTGAGGCAGTTGTGGTTAAGTGACTTGCCCAAGGCTTACACAGCTAGTGCCTTCTTTCCATACATTATCTCCTTTTTATCCTATATATGACTTGTTTGTACATAGTTGCTTGCATATTGTCTCCCCCATTAAATTGTGAGATCTTTGAGGGCAAGGACTGGTTTTTGCCCTTCCTTGCATCTCCATTCCTTAGCACAGGCACTTAATAAATGCTTACTGACTCAACTGACTGAATAATAGACACCCTCATAACAAATATGTATAGTCAAGCAAAACCATTTAGTACATTGGTTGTATCTGAAAATGTGTATGTCCTCCGGCACTTTTATCCATCACCTCTGCCAAAAGGTGTCCTGCCTTGATTCTGGTAGTTTCAGTGAGTCAATGAGACTTGCTACCACCGAGTGTTGTTGGAACCCAGCATTTTGATTTGAACTGAGTCAGAGTTCTTGCTTTTTTCTAATGAAGGAATTTGTAAAAGCTGCAGATGAGATCGATATACTTTGACATTTTAGGGAATATACAAACAGTTACCTGTTGTGTCACTCAATGTAGTATATTATTGTTTGCATAAGAGAAAAATGAGACTACGTTGGTGACAGTCTCTTCCTGGTTCTAGGTCCAATCTCATGGGAACCAAGTTTACAGTGTATGACCATGGAGTCAGCCCAACTAAGGCACAGGGCCTAGTGGAAAAGGCCCATACTCGTCAGGAGCTTGCAGCCATCTGTTATGTAAGTGCCATTCTTGCTATTTAATCCCTTCTCTGAGCTCCCAGCTAAGATTAGAAACAGAGAATGGATCTAGAACTATGTTGCTTCTACCTACAAGCCCCAGTAAGATTATATAAACTTCTGGAGAATATAAACCAAATAATTCCGGAGGACCCAACCTAACCCTATGCTTTCAGTAATTACTTGGTAATAACAGAGGAATTTGGTTAACCTCCGGGGATTGTGAACAGTTATAATTTCAAGCTACTTCCTATCGTATTTGGTTCTTAGTCTCTAGCAAAAATTAAAACAGAACTAGCTGATATAGACCCAAAGATTAAGGGAATGAAACTAAAAACTCATTTGTTTTCAGCCAACTTGAAATCACAATACTGTAGATCTCTAAGAATGCCAGTTTGCTGACAAGTTTGAATCAGATAACTTTTTTAGTTTTTGTGCTTTTCCAAAAGAGATGTTTCTTCAGAAGTATCTTTTAATTTATCTGCCAAACTTTATCCTTTTGATCTTAAATAATAGTTCAGCCTTTGTCTTTCAGTAATATTTGATCTATGTAATACAAACCAAGCCCTATCCATTTATCATCTTTATGTCCATAATGCATTTAACTTCTGTATATTCTGAATAAATATTAATTATATGATCATATTCTTCCTTATTAAATTGTCTCAAGATTAGAGATCATATTTAACTTGAAATCTGTCATTTCCATAGTTCATAGTTCTGTTAAATATTTGAGGATGACTAAGTTAGACAATTTGCTAAAGTTACTTGTCATTTTCTTTTTAATTAGAGACAAATAAGATGAATTTTAGGACAACGGTATCTGTTATGGAGATCTGTATGGATTGATATGATTGTGTCTCTGTTATGTTTATAGCAACTGCATTACTGTCACTTATAGAGATAATGCTTCCTGTTTTTGACAGTTTAATGTAGAGGGGGAAAAAAACAACATATGGAATCACAAGACCTTATTCAATCTCATTCCATCAGTTAACTGACAGTGTGATTGTGGGCAAGTTCCTTGGATTTTAATTTCTTCATCTATAAAATGGAGATAATAGTCCTTCACAGAGTTATAGTAAAGAAATGCTTTGTAAACTGAGAAGGACCTTTGAGATCATTTATTTCAAACCCCTCATTTTATAAATGAGGAGACAGGCTTGAAGAGGTTAAATCACTTCCCCAAAGTCACAGAGCTATTAGGTGGCAGAACTTGAGGGGGTCCTTTTGCTCCAAACCCAGCTGTATGTCCACTTCACCATGATATTGACATTATTTTTGTTATTATTACTTTCTTGTTACTACCAATAGAGAGCGCCAAAGAAGGATAGTTAAAAAGTTGTCACTTTTTTCCCTTTTTTTTCAAGAGTTCTGCTTCACTTTCCAAGATGTTTCTCTATTTTCTAGGAAACCAACGTGCTTGGGTTTAAGGGTCCCAGGAAAATGTCTGTGATTATTCCAGGGATGAATATGAGTCATGAAAGAATCCCATTCCGGCCACGAAATGTAAGTAGGGACATACCTAATTTGCAAAGAGGGTTTCAAAGGCTGTTAAGGAATCTGTTCAGTTTTCCCTGCATTCCACTTCAGAGTATAATTGCCAGATCTCTGGGGTAAAGCCTTATTTTTTCTTTTAAAAAATTTATTGATCCTTTTTGTTGTGATAGAGAAAAACATTTCCTATAATACACCTCCAGAATCACCTCCTATAAAATATATTACCTGAAAAGTTAAGCAAAGTCACCTAACAACGTGTGATTGCAACTGAAAATACATGTCACTTTGCACTATTGTAAGTCACCAGAAAGGAATAATATTTGCTTTAAATTTCACATCCTGATACCAGCGCTAGTGTTACCTTTATTTAAATTGTTGTTAGTCATTGTGTGGGTTGTTCTCTTGGTACTGCCGTCACCCTGGTGCAGGCCTTTATCAGCTTACACCTGGACTATTGCAGTGACCTTTTGGTTGGTCTCCCTGCCTTAAATCTCTCCCCAGTCCAGTCTGTCCTCCACTCAGTTGTGAAGTTGATCTTCCTAAAATACAGATAAACTATAGTGTCTCTCTGTTACCTTCAGGATCAAAGCATCAAATCCTCCTTTTAGCTTTTAAAACACTTTATAACATGGTTCCCTCCTGCCTTTCCTGTATTTCCATCTTACTCGCCCCCAAATATTCTTTGATCCATTGACACTGGCCTCCTGATGCTCCTGGAAAGAGACGGTCTGTTTCCTGGCCCTGGACATCATCACTGCTTGTCTTCCTTGCCCGGAATTTTCTCTCTCCTCATATTTCTACCTTCTATAAGAAGCCTTTCCCAATTTGCCTTAATACTAGTGCCTTCTCTCTGTTGATTTTCTCCCACTTATCTTGTATGTATCTTGTTTATACATAGTTGTTTACATGTTGGTCTTTCCCACTAGACTGTGAACTCCTTAAGAGTGAGGATTTTTTTTTTTGCATTCTCTGTGTCCCCATCACTTACTATAGTACCTGGCACATAGTAGGTGTTCAATAAATATTTACTGACTAAAGCTACAGTAGTGTAATTGCTGATTAAAAGGCATGTTCTCTATGAAATAGTAACATGGAGCATTGGGATAAGTATCAAAAATCCTCGTTCAGGTTTTTTTTTTCTTTCTGTACCTTAGCTTTACTCTCTCTGAAATGTCAAACAGAACCCCCACAGCACTCTCTGACTATTATTTAAGGATGATTAAGATCATAATAGAGAAGTGCCTCTGATGTAAATGCAGTCTTAATACATGGTGTTTTTTCCCTTGAGCAGGAGCATGAGAACTTGCTTTCCAAATGGCAAAATAAAAAACATGGAAAATGTGATAGAACTACACAACAAAGCCCCTGTCTGGGAATGACGACACTCAGTCCTATGTCTTAAATTTCCATGGCCGAGTCACTCAGGCATCTGTGAAGAATTTTCAGATCGTCCATGCAAATGACCGTAAGCCCCCTGGAAAGGGCCGAATGGGGGCAGTGAGAGGGGCTTTTTTGGAAGGGAGATTTTGAATTGCATTTTGGGTAGGATAAATTCTGAACATTCCTTTTCATGGGTAAATTATGGGGCTTATACAATTGTTTGAGAGAGACAACTCCCTCTGGGAAGACAGTCATACTTTAGGAGAAGAGCTTCTGAACTTTACTGCATGGACAGGTGAAGAGAATGTCAAGCAGCTGCTGGGCTGCCACAGAGAGAGTCTTAGGTTGGGCTATTTTGGAAGGACCAACTCAGATGACATGCAGCAAAGGTTTCCCGTAGCTTGAGTCCTTTTGTTTAACTAATCTGTAGTAGCCTTAGTCAGTTGTTCTCATCCTTTCCTTCCTCTTGCTAGGATCCTTTATGGTAATCAGGAACAGGCTTTCATTTCCAGTGGATGGAAGAAGCAGTAAATTAAAACTGCTCAAGATTGGGAAACCCTTTTTTAACCTCAAAAAGCTTCCTTTTTTTCACTTTTTAATGTAAGACAAATTTTAATTAGCTTTTTACCTAGGCGTTATAATTCTTTCTAAAATTAAAATAGGTTTTTCCTTATCATTATCTTGAACATTCTCTAATTTCCTTCAACTCTTTTTTCTGTCTCTGCAGCTGAATATATAGTCATGCAGTTTGGACGTATAGCAGAAGATGTGTTCACACTGGACTACAACTATCCCATGTGTGCCCTCCAGGCCTTTGCTATTGGGCTCTCCAGCTTTGACAGCAAGCTAGCTTGTGAATGAAAGAAGACAAGTCGTGCCCCAAACCTGTTTCTCACTCCATGAAGCTAAGTTTAGGGAGAAAATAACTTCCTCCCCAAAGTGTGAAAGAGATGAGAAAAGTCATCCAATATCTTTTGGATTGATTCTAGCATATACAAAAAAAACTATTCACTGGAATTTCCAGCCCCTACCAACCCAGAATAGATGAAAGATTATTCAGGCTGCAAAGGAAATTTTACTTATAGCACACATCAGTGAGGCTTACTTATCCTATGCCTCAAAGATCAGTTTTTCCTGTGCCTGGAATCTCTTGTATCTGGCATCAGGTTCAGATTATTTCAGTTACTTATCTATTTTTAGAAAGGGACAGTTATTTCTTAACATTCTTTTGCCCACATTGGTAACTGATGCTAGGACAGCTTTTCAGCAACAGAGGAGGTTCTATAGCTTGTGCCTGTGGTCCAGAGCTCATAAATGGGAGGGCTGATTATGTTAAAAAAAAAAAAACAAAACCTCCATTCCTGCTATTGCTTCCTTCTCCCATCCTGTAGATTAAATGACCAAGGCCATTGAAGTTTATGTGTCCATAGTAGTATATGTCCATTTGGATCCAGCTTTTGACTTGTTTGAGGAATGATGATTTCCAGAGAACAATCTTCTACCAGGACCAGAGAAATCCAAAGTGATTTATCACTTTGACACTTCACCAATGGCTCATGTGTGCTGACTTACCCACACCTTGTCCCATGGGAAGAAGCAGCATCCATCATTCTTCCCCATCCTCAAAGAAATGCTCTGTTTAGCCAGAGCCTGTATACGCCCTTGGAGATTGTCCAGAATGTTATCTCTTTGACAGTTGCACTCCCTTTTGAGGAAGTTAAGTATCTGCTTTTTGAAACTAGTTTAGTTTCTCCCTTAGGACCAGAGGTTCTTATGTCAGTGTGAAACCCTCTTAGTTTCAAAACTGACTAGTCAACTGGCACCAATCCCAGGTAGGAAAGTGGCTATCAAATGTGTAACCAGTGAAGGATTAATTTAATGTAACTGTCTTAATTTTGTTGTAAAGATTAAAATCCTTTTCTTCTCAGAATGATGCCAATGGTGCCTTCAAGGCACGAGTACTGGAGATGGCTTCACCCAGTGGTTTTGCAGCTGCCCTTATTTTCAACCCAATGGTGCCTCCTGTGTGTAGGTGTCTATGAAGCCGTTCACCTAGGGAATATAATCTCCAGCAGGAATTATCTATTGAAGCTTTCAGCTATCCTGTATGTCTAAAAAATAAAAGGGAAAAATGGTGGCAGCGAAAGGTGTTCGTTCCTATACATTTGGTGGTCCTAGAATTAGCTGTCTTATTAACTCTGCAACCCTCAGATGGGCAGAGTTTGGCCCTTCCTGACATAAATATTACTAGCACTCAGTGTCACCAAAGCCTTTGTATTTTGGTACAACTTGCCCTTTCGTTGCTTTCGCTCACAAATCACAATATCTTTGTTTGACGAGTTCTGATTATTAGAATATCTCAATAAATCAAGTAGTAACTTTTGCACCAAAATTTAGAAATTAGTTGTCAGTGTATTTCCCTGCTTCAGGCTTCTTAAGTCCCTACCCAGTACTTCCTGCTTCCTTTTCTCTTCAAGTCAAAATGCCTAGAGTAGGAAATTAATCTGGGGGGAGATCAAAGGACTTCACATTTAATCCCCTTTTGACCAATCCTGCCAATCTTCCTTTTGTTAATTTATTTCCATTTTAGGCCTGGCTCTTCCAGTCAAGTGCCTCCTCATTAAGTGCCCCGAGGCCCTTTAGACCTAGGTCACTAACTTGCTGCCAGACATAATAAACTGGTAGTTAACTGAAGTTGTTCCCTTGTCTTCAGCTATTGTGGATAGAGAAACCTGGAAGCTAGGAGCCAACCCTGAGGCTGTAAATTTAATCCCTCTCCTTTTCTCTTTTGCTTTTCCTTTGATCTTCAGAAGAGTCACACTGCTCTACTTGCTTTCTGCTTGAATGTCTCGAGAGATGCCTTCCTCAGTCAACTCTGGTTTTACATGAATCATATTTATAGCTTTTGTATGTTATGTCAATAAAAAATAATTTATACAAACATTTCATTGCTATCTCTTGACTATCTTTGCTTAGAATCTCCTTTTTTCATCATTTAGCAATAATGAATGAGGCAAATGCTTTAAAATTTTAGAATTTTAAAGCTGGAAGAGACCCTAAGTTCAAACTCACTATTTCAAAAGAAGTAAGGTGGCAAAGCAGGGACTTCAGTCCGAGTCTGCTAACTTTTCCATTATGTCATGCAAAAGCAGTGGTTAATGAATGCCATAGTAAATATTTATCATGGGGGAGTGTGGAGATTCACAAACTGATGTAATTCAGATGATGGTGGCTCTGTGTCTAAACAATACCAATAGAGTATAAGCATTTTGTGGCTCCATTATGGCAGGCATGGGAGTTAGACAGTTACAGCTTTGTTTCCTTGGATTTTATTCGACATGATGTTATAGATTTAACCTCCACAAGGGTCTATGCACTTTTTAATAGAACCATACCTAGGCACCATTTCTGCCTTCAAATGATTTGTATCATAAAATTGCTTTATGTACAGTTTTTAAAAAATTCTGACTCTAGAAATCTTAATTAGCCTCAACTTAGAGCAGTAGCCTGGTGGTAATATTAACAGTTAACATTTATAGTCTTTTAAAGTTTACAAAGCTCTTTACATATATTATCTCATCTGATCCTCATATATCCCTGTGAGGAAGTTGCTGTTACCCCATTTTGCAGTTAAGGAAACCGAGTCTGAGTGGTTAAGTGATTTGCCCATAATCTGAGGCAGGATTCTGTGCAGTTCTTTATTACACCAAATTTAGCATTGTGGTATCTGGAACACCATTCTTTCCTTGGCAAACTTTCCTTCTTCCTAGACTTCTTCCTCTTAGATTTTCCATCTTGCACTCAGAGAAACCTGGCTCCACCTAGAAGACATTCCATCTTAACTATCAGGACCAGTGACATCATGGGGTGAATTGGATTCAAGTGAGGCAGAATTGCACAAAGTCATCAGTCTAACTCTCTTTTCTTGAGTCATCAAGGTCCAGTGGCAAGATAAAAGCCTGGACAACTGTCAATGGCCTGGAATGCAGTGGATGACCTTGGCATCTTCAAAGGCAGACCAAGCTCTTAAGTGTGCCACAGCTTCATGGCTGTTGGAACAAATTGTTCTCACCTGCTTATTCTGCTGGGGGGATGTCTTCACATGCTTGAGACAGACATCCCCCTGTAGATTACCCTTAACCTGGTTTAGCCTGTCTGTTGAGAAGGTCTTTCCCAGATGTGGCTCCATATGACTGACACCTTCTTGGAACCACAGATGAGAGTTGGGTCAAGGTGAACAAGATGGGCAGCCCCGAAAAGGGCTTGACAAGCCCTCACTAGCACCTGGAGGTGCTAGTCCTTCCTAAACACCCCGAACATCCCTCACACTGGAACAGAAGTAGAAGGCATACTCCTTCCTATCCAGTGCTTTTTCTAGACCAGCATTTCTCAAACTTTGGTCTCAGAACCTCTTTACATTCTTGAAAATTAAGGACCCTAAAGAGCTTTTGTTCATGTAGTTTATATCTGTCAATTCTTTACCAAGTTAGAAATCAAAACTTACAAATTTTAATGTACTAATTCATTAAAATAATAATAAATACATTGTTAATAAATAGCATTTTTAAGAAAACTTCTGGAACAGAAAAATTAGTGAAAAGAATAGCATTGTTTTGCATATTTTTGCAAATCTCTAACATGTAGCTTAATAGAAAACAGTCGGAGTTCCTATCTGATTCTGTTTTGATAAATTATTTTGGTCAAAGTATATGAAGAAAATCTGATCTCATACAGATATGTAGTTAATTGGGAAAGCAAGGAGTATTTACCAGGCAAATACTGTCAGTATTGTTTTAAAATAATCTTGACCTCAGGGACCCCCTGAAAGGGTCTTGGGACCCCTCCTAGGAGGGTCCTCAGATCGCACTTTGAGAACTGTTGCTCTAAATCAGGGGTCAGCAAACATTTTCTGTAAAGGGCCAAATAGTAAATATTTTAGACTTTGTGGGCCAAGAGGTAAAATCGAAGATGCTATGTAGGTATACTTCTCTAACAAGAGAAAACAAATGTCCACAAATTATTGATGAAATCTAAAACAAATATAATTGAGTATAATTTTTTATACTACGGATTTACTAATGAGAAGAATGGAATTCCGTTTTGAGAAATAGCATTTTACTTAATTGGGGTTCAAAGTTAATGTTCCCTATCATTAAAATTGACTGCAAATGTTAATTAATGCTGGTCTGTACATATTTGATCTTTGAAAAAAAATCTCACAGATTTGTTGTTCAGTCATGTCTGGCTCTTCATGACCCCATTAGAGATTTTCTTGGCAGAGATAATGGAGTGATTTACCATTTCCTTCTCCAGCTCATTTTACAGATGAGGAAACTAGGCAAAGTGGGTTAAGTGACTTGCCCAGGGTTGAACATCTAGGAAGTATCTGAGGCTGGATTTGATCTCAGATCTCAGGTCTTCCTGATTCCAGGCCTGGTAGTCTATCTACCGTACCACCTAAGTGTCCTAACACAGATAGGTACTGCCAAATACTAATATCAGTCTACAAGTATATGGTTTCAGTTTAGCCAAAAAACTAATAGTCTTAAGCAAACTTATTTTCTCTAAGCAGTTTCTTCAGTTGCCACAACCAAACCTGATTTAATTAATTCACTATGGGTAAGCAATTTTCCTTGCTTGGCTACAAAACAGACACTGGGAAACTTACTTTGGTTTCAGCCTCATTTTTATTTTTTATTTTTGTCAAGAAGTTCTACTATGATTCCTCTTTAAATTTTCTGATTTTTCTGACTTGCTTTGCTGTGATTTGGGAATGTTATGATGAGTGCTTAGTCTTGGAATGTTAGCGTATATTCTATTTTTTTAGTACAGCTGTAGTATCATCGCATAAAAAACAATGCTTTGCCATCTAATTCAATAACAAAATAATCCATACTCCCCCTACTTTTCTTGTTGGGTACACACTGGTAATTTTTTTTTAAATGGCCCAATACACATGGCACTACATATGCTACTGAGTTATAACTGCATCTCTTTGTTTTATAGCAAGGGCAAGCAGCCTGGCAAAGTGATGGGTGCCACATATGGTTTCTGTTACAAGTATTCAACTCTTCCAATGTATTGAGAAAACAGTCATAGACAGTACATAAACAAGCGAGCCTAGCTGTGTTCCAATAAAGCTTTATTTATGGACACTGAAATTTGAACTTCATATAATTTTCATTGTCACCAAATATTATTCTTTTGATTTTTTTCAACTATTTGAAAATATTAAAAATACGGTTGAGGGCCATACTGAAACAGATGCCAGGCCATGACCCTTGTTCTAGAGTCCCAGGACTCTAGGAACTTATGGCCTCAAGGCCACATGTGGCTCTCTAGGTCCCCAAGTGCAGCCCTTTGACTGAATTCAAACTTGTAATCTAGACCATCCCTATGCCATCATCACAAAGTATCCTCTTCTTTAAGTTTTAGCTTATCTTTCTATGTCTTGCTATTCTCCCATATCTTTTCTGTCTATAATAGCTAAACTCCTTGAAAAGACTATCTATCCATCTACAAGAGGCCCCCTCCATTTCTTCTCCTCTTACTTTCTTCTTAAGTCTCTTCAGTCTGGCTTCTGACTTCATCACTCAACTTAAACTACTCTCTCCAAAGTTATTAATGATTTCTTTTTTGGGGGGAGGGGTGAAATGGGGGTTAAGTGACTTGCCCAGGGTCACACAGCTAGTAAGTGTCAAGTGTTTGGTCTGAGGCCGGATTTGAACTCGGGTCCTCCTGACTTTAGGGCCGGTGCTCTATCCACTGCACCACCTAGCTGCCCCCCTTAATGATTTCTTAATTGCCAAATCCAATGACCTGTTCTCAGTCTTTATCTTTCTAGACCTCTCTGCAGTCTTTGATGCTGCTGATCACTCTCTTTTTCTTGATACTTTGTTCTGTAGGTTTTTGTGATATTGCTTTTTTCTGATTCTCCTTCTACCTTCCTGACCAATCCTCAGTCTCCTTTGCTGGATCTTCATCCAGATCACATCACTAACCATGAATGTCACACAGGAATCTGTCCTGGGCCCTCTTCCTTTATGCTCTCTCACTTGGTGGCCTCATTGGCTCACATGGATTCAGTTATTATCTCTATGCTGATGATCCTCAAATCTATTTATTGAACCCTAACCTCCCTG